TTACAGGCCTGAGTCGAGGGGAGGAAAGTCGGAGGCTCGAGGGGACATCCGTTCTCGCAGCACATCCTGGATGCTGACCTGCCGCAAGGTTTTCGTGATCTAAACATAAGTTATGACGGGTCGAGCGATCCATCTCGTCACATGAGAAGTTTCGAGAATATGGCGGTCTTGCATCGCTATAATGACCCTGTGCAATGTCGAGCTTTCCTAACCACTTTGCGGGGTTCTGCACAGGATTGGTTCCACCAACTACCAGCGGGAGCCATCAAGGATTTTGAAGGATTCAGTGCGAGTTTTCTCAATCAATTTGCAAGTGTGAGACCGCAGGAGAAGTCGTATCTGACCTTAATGGGCATCCAGCAGAAGGAAGGTGAGTCGCTACGAGATTATGTGGCAAGATATACACGAGCATGTGTCGAGGTGCCCAGGGCATCGGAGAAGATAAAGGCAGGAGGATTGACACGAGGGTTGCTACCGGGCTTGTGCAGGAATTCTTTGGCAAAGCGCCCGGGTAGAACGTTCGACGAAGTGCTGGGGAGATGCGCGAAAGATATGAATGTCGAGGAGGCGGAGATCGATTTCTCGCGAACAGCTAAAGAAATTAGAGCTGAGCCTCGGGAAGAGAGAAGGGAGAAGAGAATTTCCTCGGCTGGGGAGAGAAAGGGGTCTCCGCGAGCAGAAAGAGAGGGGCGACCTAGGGGTTGGAGGCCGACTCAATACACCCCTTTGTCGGCCCCTCAAGCGCGAATTCTGGAAGTAATGGAAAAAGAAATTCATGACAATGTTGTCAGATGGCCCAAAACGAGAAAGGATGGACCAACAAGACTGAAGAGTAACCTATACTGTCGATTCCACAAAGACTATGGTCACAATACTGACGACTGCAGGCACCTTAAAGACGAAATCGAAAGACTGATTAAGGCATGACACTTGAAGGAATTCATATATAAGGATCGAGAAAAGTCGAACAGAAGAAGGGAAAGGAGCAGGAGCCCTCGCAAGAGGGCGAGAACACCGGAGAAAGAGGAGCTCCCACAGAAAAGGGGAACCATACATATGATATTTGGAGGATCAACTGATGGGGATTCGAATCGAGCAAGGAAGGCGTATGCCCGAGGGCGCCATGGGAAAGTCGAGATACAATAAGTCGATGAGAATGGACCGGTAATAAACTTCGGCCCAGCAGATGCGGGAGAATGTGAGAGGCCTCAGAACGACGCATTGATGATAACGGCCCAAATATCGGGATATGAAGTGCAGAGAGTGTTCGTCGACACTGGGAGTTCCGTAAATGTGATTTTTTACTATTGTCTCAAAAGGATGGAGCTCGACATACAGCTCACACCCCTTCATACCTTACTATTCGGTTTCAATGGGTCAGAAGTCGACCCCTAGGTGAAACCATGCTCGCTGTCGTTCTAGGGAAAGGTGACTTGCGGAAGGTGAAAATGGTGAGATTCGTGGTGGTTGATGTCGAGTCAGCTTACAATGTGATCCTGGGGAGGCCAGGACTTAACGCATTCCAGGCGGTAGTATCGACTTACCATATGAAGCTAAAGTTCCCAGTCGTAGACCAAGTCGGGGAAGCTCGAGGCGATCAAAAGCTGTCGAGGACTTGTTATCAAATCGCTGTAAAAACCAACCAACGGGCCGAAGTTAAGGAGGGAAAGAAGCCAATGATGAGCGAGAAAAGGCCAAGGAATAGTGATCTCGAACCACACGGGGAGCTAATGGAAATACAAATCGAAGAAACAAAGGAACAGACCACTAAGATCGGGAAAGATTTGAAAGTCGAGCTACGAAACCAACTGGTCGCACTACTAAAGGAGTTCAGGGATGTTTTCGCCTTCACCCCTGAGGAGTTGACAGGGATCGATCCCGCTATTATGGAGCATAAACTCAACGCCGACCCCCTCAGAAAGCCAGTAAAACAGCGACTCAGACGTCATGGTGAAGAAATCGACAAAGCAATTGAAGTCGAGGTTGATAAGTTGCT